TTATCAAATTCGTGATTTTAATTGGTCAATCAACAAATGGCATGGGTTAAAATTTTGTGTTCCCTCCTGTTAATTTTGTGTTCCCAGTACGTTTCTTGGAGAGGATGATTCATTTACTACTACCACTAATATTAATGAGCCACCTGAATCAATAACACATTTATATAATATTTCATTTGATGAAATTCGAAATAAGCTTCTTAATACCTGTTAATTTGCTTCTTTAACCACGGATTTTTGGACTGCATCACACCAAAAAAAAGGATATATGGGTATAACTTGTTCCTGGCTCTCTGAATGCTTTGAACTGATTGAGACACTTTTAAATTTGTTTTATGTTCCTCATCCACACACAAACTTAATTATAAAAAATTTATTAGTGGAAGAAATATCAAAGTGGGGTTTAGAGGGAAAAATCACTGCTATCACAACTGATAATGGCAACAATATGGTATCATGCTGCCAAAAAGAAACCCCAACTTCTTATTATCTCCAAGATATTCATTAATATAAATTTTTTTTTTTGAATTTTTTCTTCAATATATAAGAGCATCAGGTTGTAAAATAATAAAAAAATGAAAGGTAGACTATAGTCAGGCCATAATTACTTATTTTATTTTATATTACATATTTTTAATACTATAGAAAATCAATAGGGACATGCTCTAAAGGATATTACCAATGAACTGGAACATAAGAAATCCAAAATTTACAATTATTACTGCAATTACTTCGTGATTTAAATGGTCAAAAAATATACTTTTTTCCTTGTATGAATATACATGAAGAGGGGATACTTCTTATGACCAAAAGGACAATCTTTATTATGTTCATGACATCTTAAGTGGCAAAGAAATTTTACACTTTTTTTTCTTGGATTTCATTTTTAAGAGATAGTAAAAAGCTATATATCATTCTGTCCAGGCATAATGGAAAAATTGGGATTGGGGCCTGATGAATTGTTTGAAATAAATAAGAAATTAATTTATACTAGATTGACTGGATTTGGTCAAGAAGGTGAATTATTTTTTTTTGATATGTAGAAAATATATGAAAAAAATTTCTGAGATGAATTATTTATTAAATGGATATTTTTTTAATTAGGAAAATATTCAAAGATGGCAGGTCATGATATAAAATTATCTTGCTATATCTGGTAAATATTATATTTTTAAGTGAATGTGTAAAATATGTGTGCTTATATATATTTTCGAAAAGCTTCTTGGATGCAAAGATGAAAATCTAATGTTTCCATTAAATTTATTAGGTAAATTCAATCAACTAATCTATTTATTATATAATTTATTAATAATGATACCAAGCCTATTCACTATTTATTTAATTATTTAAAGCTGATTTTGCTGGTGGCAGATTAATTTGTGTTGTTGGAATTTTATTAGCATTAATTGAAAGATCAATTACTGGAATTGGAAAAATAATTGTTGATTCTTCAATGGTATTTAACTGACTGCAATTAACTATATTGAAAATTTTGAAAGCCCCCCTGAATAATTTTATTCAAATTTCCTTTAAGAATTTTGATGCTCCTCACACACATTTATTATTAATAATAGGTTGATGGTGTGAAATATTGAAAAAAGTTCCTAATTCACTATTAAATAAGAGGAGAGGTGAAAACTCGTTGGATGGTGGTGCTCATTTTTATGAAGTTTATCAAACTAAAGACAATAAATATATTGCTGTGTGTGTAAATGCCAATTTATATATGGTTTTTATTATTTATTTGATTTATCTTTATTCATCTAATTTTATTATTTTTAGTGGCATGTTTGAGCCTAAATTTTATAAATTATTTATTGAAAATTTAAATCTAGAAACAAAGAATTATTATTATCTCATCAATATGATCAATCAAAATGGAAAGGAATGAAGTTACTATTTCAAAAAATTTTTAAATCTAAAACTCAAGATAAATATTCCATAACACTGATTCACCTTTACCTACTCTAAATCTAATATCAACTGGTAATAACAGCAGTACCAGTAAAGGTAATGACAGTGGTAGTGATAGCAATATATTTCTGATGCCAGTTAAACATACTTTGGAAATTTTACATGAAATTGGTTATGATGATAAAATTTCAAAATAAAAAAGTTATCAATTGCATAATTTTAAATAATAATAATTCAAATAATTATATAATTAAAAGTAATTTATAAAAATTTTATTTATTAATTAGTTTTTATAAATGTAAAAAATCTCAAACATCACTGATTATAATTTTTTTGTTCATTTGTATTAAAGAAAAAGTTAATAATAGGGGATGCTGGAATTTAATTATTTATAATTCACCATTCAATAAATAAAGCTTTGACATTAAACCAATTATTGTAATTGGAAAATTTTGTTTTTCAAAAAAAAAAAAAAAAAAAAAATAAAACTATAAAACGTAAAAAAAAACTTGACTTTTCACCCCAAGAAACCAATATTTTTTGAATCAAAAAGTGTGTTTATTTTATTTGAAAAGTTTACAAAGTAAAAACGTTATTTTGTTATATAAAATTTTGAATTTTATGAATCTCAAGGAAGGACAGTTTTGGTTTTTTCGAAATCATAGTTTTTGTATATATATATATACTTTTTTATTATAAGTCGTATACATATATACAGTATATTACATTAAAAGAAAATCATCGCCAAATATTGTAACACGAATCATTATTCTCGAATTTAAAAAATCTATGTAAAGAAAATTTGTGAATTTACTCTCCCTTTTTAAAGCTGGATTGAATGGTGGTTGTGTATCACATTATATTTCAAATTTTTTTTAAACTTGAATATGGATGATCCGCACTGTAATAAATAATGATGTCTGGTGCATTAAAAAAAATCGTGCAATTTCAACTTTTTTATTATGAGTCGTATCCAAATCAAGTAAAACGATTTTTACTATTATTTACTATTGTTATTATGCTATTTATGTGTTTTTTTTCTTCGAAATTTAATAAAATAGGCTATTGCCTTGACCCAGGTGATGTGATTTTTTTGTTCTTTGTGACGAAGACGCAACCCAAACCCAACTTAATCTTTGATGTCAACGTGATGCTAAATTTTTGATCTCGCATAACATGGCATGCGTGATTGTTGTTGTGTGATAAAAAGCAAAATGCTCACGTTGCGTTTTCGGTTGTAAACTTGTTGTGTTAATTAATAAACCCTTAAAATCGTAAATAAATTTTTAGCACTGTTTTTATTTACTTTTCGTTTAAAGCGAAGTGCTTTAGTCAAAGGTCATGTTTTATTTGCTTTAGTTGGTAAGCAAACTTATAACTAATGTTGGTTAACTCTACTGACAATTAGTTATAATATTTTGTATATAATATATGATTTGGCAATTTTGCTAATTTATGATTGTTATTATTTGGTGAACTTTATTAAAAAAGAAAAATTGAATCTTAAAAATAACAAAAAAAAATCATATGTTGAAAAAAAAACAATTATTATTATTTGTTTGTGTTTATGCTAGAACCTTTAATAATAAGCCATTTTTTAAATCAAAAACAAATCCATGAATTTGGATTTGACTAGCAGCTTTAACAAAATCAATTTTTCTAACTTGATTTATTTGATTCACGACATTATCTTTGACCAATTGTTCTTGACCTTCAAGAGTATCAAAATTAGCGGGTTTTGTTGGTCCAAACATTCCCTTCAACCATTTTATTAGATTAGGTTCAAGGTGCGATTCAAAACTATTTTTTACTCCACCACAACCCGTATGGCCTAAAGAGGAATAAAAAGATAACATTAAAAAAAAGAATTGAATGTGTTTTAAATTAAAACTTATCATTTATTTATTTACCACAAATAACAATGTGAGAAACTTTCAAATGGTTGACAGCATATTCTAACACTGACATGCAATTGGCGTCATCGAGTTTGATTTGATTTGCTACGTTACGATGCACAAATAATTCACCAAATCCTGATTTAGTGATGAGTTCAGGCGGAACACGAGAATCAACACATCCTATATAATGAATGAACGAATGAGTGGATGAATTATCTTTATCAGATGCTATTTTTATATAACTATAATGATAAAAAGATATTTAAACTTTACCAATCCAAAGAACCTGTGGTTCTTGTTTTGTAAGTTTATTAAAGAATAATTTATTATTCTCATTTTCACTTGTCCATTGTTCGTTATTTGCAATTAATTCTTTAATTTTATCGCCTTCAAAATCTGCCTGCACTCTTTTATCAGATATGCACCAGTTGAAATAACGAAAATTGCTTTTGATATAAAATGATAATTTAATATTTTTGTGATTTAGATTAACTTCATTACTATTACTATGATAAATCATACCTGATTTCTCCATCAATCCCAATATGGATGTGAGCACGTCCAATATTCAACGGTCCATCATTGAAGATAACATTTTGCTGGAACTTATATGAGCCGATTAACCTACCGTCTAAGTAGACATTTAACTTTTTTTCAGGGTTAGAAATTGTATAAGCTATATGGTACCATTTGTTTAATGAAAGTAATTCAGCGAGCTCCTGAGTTCCTTCATCAGTACTCGAGGTGCTTGAGAAGCGGGCATACAGTTTGCCTGCCTGGGTCAACCAAAGCCCGGGAGTGCGGGTGTTGTTTCCAGTACCTAAATGTATGTATATTTTATTTGAGGCCGAGAAAGTACTAGTTAGAAAAGATTCTAAAAAAAATCAATTTGAACCAATAATTTTGCTGGACAAAGCCTTTCTTGCAAAAAGCATACCTTTGTGAAAAATAGTGGACCAGTACTCAGAACTATGATTCCTAAGTTTCAGTCGTAATGTCACTGACAGCTGATCTGCAACCACGGGCAAGTCATTATGGTTAAAGATTTGCGGATACTGAGCTCCCAACGTAATAGGGACTGAACCAATAAGTTCAACGGATCTACTCATTTTGTACGAAACGATGATAGATTGGATTAATAAATTTAATATGCAAAATTTTTTATATCTTCTAATGAAAATGTTTTTTTTCGTTCAGTGAGGTCTGATTAAAATGTTTGTATACGAGTATTATTGATTATTGGAAAGCCTCTGTCTCATGAACCCAACCCTTTTATACTATAATCCCAGACAATTTTAAGATTGATTAATTTCCACAAGTGTATTTTAGCGCGTTACACCTTGTTTGTTTGTTATAAATTCTAAGAAAGTTAATATTTTTTTGGCAACCATATCAATATGCATATGCATAATGGTGCAATTCGGGCAATCATGTACATTTATAGGGAACAAAATGAAGAAAATGCTTTTTTTAAATTAATTAATTTTTTTAAGGCGTTGTACCTTGTAAATTCGGGATCTTAAGTTACCAAAAGTAAACTGGCGTGAATTAATTAGTAAATCGTGGAGGATCGTCACTATTAAACGTGGCGCAATATGCAAAAAAAACTGAAATTATGGATACAATAATACCGTTTTTGAATAGCCGTAACTTTATTTAGAGAACGCCTTTCAATATAGAAATATATTCATTAATAAGCTTTTAATGATGTAGTTTCACTTTGTCTTAATAACAAGGTTCATGTTTATTATTATTATATACATAAGTCGGTTCATCTGTGAACTGGGTATTTTCATATTGATGAAGGTTACCATTTTATTGAAAATTGGTCATAAAGAAATAACACTATATATATACATATATCAATAATAATAAATGTTAGGAAGTCGCCATTTTGTAAAGTAAGAAATTTACCATGTCATCACAGCCCTGACATCTTATATGCACCATTTATCAAAATTTGGTTGTCTTCTATTTAACTAAACAGAGTATTTTACAACAAGAAGTTGATTTAGTGATCATGAATGAGCTGTGCGTCGCAGATCAGATTGATAAAAATAAAAATAAAAAGTAAATGAAAATGACCGACTGAATGACAGAGAAAACAACAATTGGCAAACAACAAGAAGAAAGAAAGAACATAGTGGTTTAAACAGCGATTGCTCATTTTCAGGGATGGATCAAAGATAAAAAACTAAGATCTTTTTCATTACAATTTGTTT